TATTAGTTGCTGGTTTTGAATGTCAAATACTTAATTTGAAGACACCTATTTTTTGATCTATTACCTAAATAGATAATATCTCGATTTCACAGTGGTAGAGCTAGTAATTGTTGCAGTTATATGTACAGGTTACATTTCGGTTCATTTTTATGACCAAGCACATTTGCAATACATATACATTTTGTGTTGTGTCCAGAATGGTAATTTTCACATTTTATGGAAAGTGGAAAAAATATTTTGTTATTGTTGGCCTTTGAATCCAAATGTACCTCACACTTGAGTTTATGCTGAAAGACCCAGCAGTTGAAAGCATGGACAAAGGAACTTATGTTGCTATGTGTCAAACAATCCCAACTGCAGCCAATCAGCCTTATCATATATAATGCATAGTGGTCCTATGTACATAGTGATGAATTATCTACCTAAATACACCAAGTTTTCTTTTGTGGTATGTAGCATTGAGCGCCACTTTTTTAAATATTTGTTTTTACCATTTTTTCTTCCATTGTGTCTCAGTTCTGCTCATCTCCTACAACCTCTTTGTAGCCACTTTCAGCCAATATGTACTCCAGCGATGTCTGCAGGGCATTTCCCAGGGCAGGTTTGCTTATAGGGACAACAGTGGACCATTCTTGAATAATGGGTGTTGAGTCGGTCACTCGTATTCGTCATTGGAAGTCTGTGTGACAGGGTGACAATGCAGGGGCATAAATGGGAGACCAGGATGGAAAATTGTCATTTTATAATAGTGCTTCAACAAGGACCTTCATGACATGGGAACCAAGGATTATTTTAGTAAAATCTGCAGATTTGAAAAGATTGGAAAATACTTTTGACATTACGTTGACATGTTAAGTCTTTTGCAATATTTTAGGGATTCAGTTTACATAGAATTTATATTTCAGTATTTTTATTAAGAGATTGCAAAATGACAATTAGATCAGTCAAAGTGTCATTTCACAGACTATCATAATGACAAAGAATCAAAATTCCACATTTAATTAGAAAACTTAAGGTGACCCATTGTCAGATGAGCAAACAATCAAATTATTATCATCTCAGACATAAATCATATGTAAGAGAGAATGCCAATTATCAACAAACTGAATAATACAAGCCCAGCCCATGAAGGTCCAGAAATAGAATTATACCTGATGGCCAAAAAAAGTCTTATTTTTCACATCAGTATATAAAGTTGTATTAACAACTGTACAGTGGTGTTACATAGACTTTAACCCTTATACAGTCGGGTCTGTACAGCGTACGGACCTACTGTACTGCTTCCAGCAGGCCAGGTCTGTATGCCGTACGGACCTCCATTCCTCCTCTGCTAAGAGCTATTTGTCGCTTCAGTGACCATGAGCTTATAGCAAAACTGTTCAGCAGACAGGTCTGATTAGCGGATAACAAGCCAATGATCAGAGCTATACACCTCAAATGTAACACCCCATGTGCGCGAATGCCGCCACTTCCCTCGCTTCCTTGTCTTCAGCCTCATTACCTACCACCACCGCTATTCTTTTTTATAAAATGCCCCCCCATTGTAATTTCACTGCCTCCAGCACCGACCCCCACCCGCGATCTTTACCTCCCCCACTCACATACCTCATCCCCTGCAGACGCCGGCTTCTCTCCCGCCAGCTTGTTCCAGGTGCTACAGGGGCCTGGAAATGACCCCTGCCACTCTGACCTTCCCCCCACCACACTGCCCCCCCAATGGCACCTTACTTACTGATCCTGGCTGGCTGGCTGCTGGGCGGTGTTCACTCCACTCCCTCCAGCAGCCTGCAGCTGCTGCTCCTGCACTTGGGGAAGCTGCTGGGGTTTACCAGCCCCCTCCCTTTTGTTTAGAGGATACAGTCAGCGATCACTAGTGATCACTCCTGCAGCCACTGATAACTGAGCATGGTAAGCTTGTGCTTACTATGGGTCATTTTATGAATGAAAAGGAGGCTCTATTCAGACTCATTCATTCACATAATGTGCAGCTTAGGCTGCAGAAAAAGAGATTGCCTTCAGTCCTTTTCTCTGTCTCAAAAAAGAGACATCAGAGGTCTGTTTAGACCTCTGATATCTCACTAAAGCTCCCCCCAAAAAAGTACAAAGTATTAAAAAATAAAATTGTAAAAAAATAATTTAAAAAACATAGTAAGGCTTTGTTCACACAGGGCATACACAGCATATGCCCTGCAAGGCCATGTTTACCCGCACAGGGGTGCACAGGTGTTCTATGCATCCCTGTACAGGCAGTCCCATTGACGTCATTTGGGACGTAGCAACTGCACGAACACCGCGATTACTCCCAATTTGACATCCATGTAGGTCTGGGTGCATGTCCCTGAGCGCATACTGTCTGCGTTTGGGGTCGTGTACCCACCCCCACATGGATGTCAGATTGGAAACAGCAACTATGCTAATGCAGCCATTGCATCCCAATTGACATGAATGGGGCTGCCCGCACAGGGATGCACAGAACACCTGGGCAGCTCCTTGTGGGTAAACACTGCCCTCCACAGACATACATTTTCGTATGTCCCATGTGAACGCCTTAGTAGCAATTTAGCAGGAATTTTTAAAAATTAGGTTTTGTTTTTTGTGCACTAATAATGATTTTAGTGTATTTTTAGTGAAAATTGTGATTTGATGAACATTTGCACAACTAGTAGCACTTTTTTTTATTCTATAGGTCATGTGCTTTTAGTAAATGTATTGTTTGGGGAGTCCTTTCAAATTCTGAAAGCAGTAAGTGAAAAAATGGCAACCTCCATTTTTTAAGTCTAAATTTTTTTTTATTATTTACAGTTGTGCATACCTTCCTTTTTCCCCATTTCATAAAAAGGCACGATTTAAAATGTACTAATATTTGTTATTTTTTAACTCCATACCTTTACTTTCATATTCAGTAGAAGGTTTTTAATACCTTCCTTTTTCCCCATTTTACAAAAAGCCACAGTTTAAAAGTTACAAATATTTGTTGTTTTTCAACTCAATACAGTTTTAACTTTCATATTTAGTAGAATTTTAGCAGGAATTTTATAAATTTTGCCATGTATGTTTCCACTAATAATGATTTTAGTGTATTTTTTGCAAAAATATTATTTTGATAAACATTCACACAAATATCACAGAGCCTAAAACATCAGTAGCACCTTCCCATTATTCTACTGGTCCTATGCTTTTATAAAATAGATGGCATGGGGGTCTTTAACAAGCTCTGAAAGCTGTAAGTGAAAAATGAAGACCTCAAGTTTTTCAGAGACGTTTGGATATTTACTTTTGCTTATTTTCGATTTTCACCATTCCACAAAAAGGCGCAATTTAAAATGTACAAATATTTGTTATTTATTAAATTAACTTAATACAGGTTACACTTTTATATTTAGCAGGAATTTTGTAAAATTTGCTTTGTTTTTATCTACTAATAATGATTTTAGTGTATTTTCAGCGAAAATATTGCTTTGGTAAACATTTGTGAAAATATCGCGGAGCCTTAAAAATCATTAGTGTCTTATTTTAATTCTACCGGTCATGTGCTTTCAGAAAATATATGGTTTGGGGGGTCTTTTACAAACTCTAAAAGCTGTAAGGGAAAAATCAAAAGAAAAATTGCAAAAATGGTCTGGCCACCCAAGTTTAAAAGTGGAGCACAGGGCCTGGTAGTGAAAGGGTTTGAGAACTAAACTTCACGAACACACAATGCCTATCATTGGGTTCTCCTGCCTGTCATTTCTTTTACATCATCATTAAAGCTAATTAGTGTGAACAGAAAGCCGTGTACACAGACCCATAGCAGTTCAGGAATATTCCAGCATGTTAATTTAACTTTATCTTTTTTAGCAATTGTAGCGATACTCTGTATTGTCAAGCACAATATTTAGTATAATATTTTGCTTGTTTCCCTCTCAAAGCTAAGGCCATCAAGGGCTGGTTCACATTGCTTGTCCTTACCAGAAAAAAGAGAGAGAAAAAAGATATTAGTAGCCTTACAGGAAAGGATTTCTGCAGGGAGATATAAGGGGGTCAGTATAAGCTGGCCATGTATTGCAAGCATTTTTGTCAGATAAAAGAATCCAACACTTTTCCATAAATAATTCTTGTGCTGGTTTCTACATTAGTACAGTAATTTTTAAATCACTTTGGCCATCATTTAGGACATCTGTCACAAAAAAGCTTATTATCAATGGCTTGATATATCTAATGCAATGCTACTGTTAGTCGCCATGCTGGAATATTTAATGAAATCACTAATGAAAATCCCACAATCTGTGATTGACCTAAGTATTTGGCTGTCAATATTGTTTAAATTTGATTATATAACTTTGCTCCTTTGGTTACTTATAAGTAAGAAGACCTATAGGTTGAGGTGTCATTTTATGATGTTATTGACAATTACAATTCATCTAACTTACTTATACTTTTCTCTTGCAAAAAAACAGCAGGTATACAGTACTGGCTCCTTCACGTGCCTGCACATATTCACAGCTGCTTCAAAAAACCTTTCAGATGTGACTGAGTACTAGGCATATCTTACCATCAAAGTGCCTTCACCTCCTAACAGTGGTGATATTACCTACAACATCCTACCTTCTGCTCTCTTCTTTTTGTGCAGTAAGGCAGCCCATAATAGTGATGGGTAGTGGGACTTAACAGCAAGCTCTGACACAACCCAGAGATGTGGAAACTTCTTCATCAAATGTGCTTAGCATTCAGTTGCATCTGCAGGAAGTTTGAAGCTGTTGCAGAAATGTGCAAGCACCCCTATTTCAGACTTTTTTGTTTCTCTATAGAGTCAATTTAAACTTAGTGTTACTAAACACACAACAGTAAATCAGTCTTTATATGCAGTAAAGCATGCTTGTTATACTCACTGTGGAACCTAATGGGTTAATCCTCCGCATTGTCTTAAAAGGCTTTTTTAACCCTGTCTTCTCTGATCATCTCCTTTTTCTACTGTCTCCATCCATCTGTGGAAAGAACAAAGCCTTGGGGAGAAGCTGCACATGCTCAGTTTGTTGTGTATTGCTAGAGAGTTTTTTTTTTCTTGGGAGAGTGCATGTGATCAGCACAGGGTCCATCAGCGATGTCCAGACAGAGGGTCAGGGGTTATGCAGCCTCATAGGACTATCAGGTGAGGAAAACTCCTCCTACAAGCTTTAACCAGTGCTCTGCTGGACACTGATAGAAGTCACAAGACTGCTCTAACTGCTGATGAGTAAAGGTATTTAGCAGTTTATATTTACTACAATAATTGCATTTCCATATTCTGTGTTCTGTGGGAGACCAGATATAGTAAATGCAGGGTCCTGGGTTTAGTAACGCTTTAAGTATAGGGCTAGGCTCACGCAAGCAGCAAAGGCAGGGGCTAGGCAGATGGTTGTCTTGGCCTCCCAAATAACTCAACTAAAGTAGTAATCTGAGTTTCTTTGACACAGTCAGGAGGCAGTGAGATATGGGTGCCTGAACATTTTGTGCAGTGTTTGGGTCAACAGCTGCCTATTGCCTGTGTGTTACACCCAACGTGCCAAGAGAGCAGTTTGACAAACAGTGACAGCAACCAGACTGACTTATGCCACACCAGAACTCTCTGATAATTGTTTTGTTTTCCTAATTCATTATTTGTAGCAGACATTTCAGTTGTTATGTATTGCTGGGAAGGACCTTTTAGGAGTAGGAAGGTAAACTAATAGGCAATATTATTATTTTAGTAAGAGAAATCCAACATTTTGGAGGGTATGTGTGCAGATGTGCTTATTCCTAAAGTATAATGTAAAATCCATTATGCACATTGTAAGGTGATAAATCCATCAGCATGGTGGAATATGTGAACTGTGTTACAATGGAGAGGAAAATGTGTCCTCCCAGACTAAAATAAGTGCTTTTTGTACCATTTCTTTCCATGTTCATAATAGCAGCAATAAACTCGATCCCAAGAACAGGCAGCTATTGCTCAGATAATGGCCTGGATCAGTAGGCTTCATTACTTCTCATTATGTGGCCAATAACAGCTCTTCACTCCCAGGGTTCTTGCTTAATTATGTATAATTATTACCTTTGTGACTGCAGGGTTAAAGCTAAAATGTTATATACTGGCCTCCGCTATTGTGTTTCCTCCTGTTCAAATACATTGTTGCCCTTATACCACCAGCAGCACCTCACTAAAACAGGACATGTTTATTAGTAAAGCTCTTGTTTTAAGTAAAGACAGCAATAAAAAAAAAAAGCTGAAAACATTAATTTATTTAATTTATAAAGATATGTTGTAAAATGTATTTTAAAATAGGAAATTTTTAATAACCTATTTTATCATAGAATCCTTTTGCAGAATATTGTGGAGTAATAATGAAATTATCTTTCTGCCTACAGTATCTATCTACAAAATAAAAAATCCATCTTTCAGTAGTCGGTTCAAACAAACCTAATGAACTAGTTCTAACTCCAGGTTTTATTGTTGCATACATTTTCAAATACCTTTTAAGCCATACTTTTGCAGTCACCTCTGTAAAGTGTGGTCCCTAACTCTAAAATACCTCAGACTAAACTATATATATATATATATATATATATATATATATATATATATATATAAATTGGGAGCAAGAGTAAATCAGACCTGTCATGAGAGAACAAAATCAGAGGATCACAAACCTGTGATAGAAGCATAGTTATCCTTACCTGCCCATTGGCTGGTTTGAAGAAACTCTGCCCTCTTGCCAAGCTGTGTGTGTGTCAATACTATTCAAATTTTCTGATGTGTGAAAGCGTGCCCCAGCTGGTCATTGCGGTTCCTTCTGCTGACCCTCACAGCGACACAAAGTAGTGATGTAGGGGTCGTCAGGGGTATCCACATTGGCCAGCAGGGATGTGCTGTTCCACACGTCCAAAGAAGTAGATTAGTATCAGCACCTGCTTCATTCACATGATTATGCTCCTTGGATTTTCTTTCCTCCTGACAAGATATCATTAACTTGGAGATAGCACTATTCTTTTAAAAGCCATATCAATTAACCAAAAGCCCGGACTTGCTCAAGCCAGATGAAGACTCTCAACATTTGTCAGCTTCACACATACTGACTGCTAATTTTGGTCAGGGTAGCTAGATGTTAATGACCTCTGTCATGAATGTGTTTAGCTTGGTCATATGATGAATGTATAGCTGTCAGATGTGATTATCAATGACTGGTTGACATTATTGTCAGTTAGAATCTGATCAAGTGTGGACTTGCATCACCAATATTTTTTTAACAAGCGGGGTTAAACTTGCTCCCTGTAGGCATCCTACAAGTGACAAGATGTGCGTGATAGTGTCATTATATTTCACATCAAATAGATCACACATGGCTGAAGAATAGGAAGCCTGTCACCCATTTCTTGTCTTATCCTCACGCCATGCTCTCTCATGTACTGTCAAGGCACTGTCTGTCAAACAATACACTTAAAAGAAGCATAATGTATGATATATGCTCTATAAATGTTCAAATTCATTGCTTAAAAATACCCCATTTTTTAATGTGTTACTAGGAGACAATATTGCTTAGCTAATGGTATAGTAGTCTTTTCTGTGCAGGTCTTTTCCTTCATGGGCTTACTTGTTGGGTTGATCTTTCTGTTGATTTAGGGTGACTATAGATTCCAGGTGGTCCTTGAAATCACTGGGGCTTGCTATGCTGTAATTTGTGACTTGGCCAACCTGTAAAAACAGCCATATATTTTTTTCTTCATTGAGAAGGCGGACGTATCACCTATGCTTTACAACTCTCTGTGGGTAATAACTGTGTTGGAAGATTGTAAGTGTTCATTATTGATCCTTGGGGTATTTCTATATGATGCTTAGCTATGCATCACAATGACCATCAATCCAGGCAGAATCAGACTTATATGGCCTCCCCTTGATATGTTCTCCTGAAATGTAGACTATTATTGAACTAATAATTTAACAGTGCAGGAATATCAGGGTACAGAGGTATTGTATACTTTGTATTTATGGACTGAGTTATGTGGACCTGGTGTGAGGTTAGCATCAAATTCCTGTATAGATTTCTTCCATAATAAAAATGCTTGTACCCCATAGTGCTGGGTGGTTTAAGTACAATGGCCTATATCCAAGAAACCTCATACTCTACCTAAGTGTCAGCATGCAAGTTTGTAATAGAGAACACAGAGAAGATGGTGTTAACTGTCAATCATGTTGGTGGTAGTAGGATTTTTGTGCACAGGCCTGATCATATCTGTGACCTTTGTGACCTTCTGTAAGTTTATGTCACAGATTTGGCCCATTGCACTTCACAGTCAAAATGCAATCCAAAATCTCCTTTATATGCCAAATCTATATTATATTATTTTTTATTTCAAAATTCTTCAGGTGTTGCGCCTTTCCGAGTGTCAGTGTCCTCTCATGAATACTCAGAGGTACGGAACAGTGCCTTGCTAATGTTTGTAAAGTGCTGAATATGTAATATGCCATGACTCCACATTCTATTTTATGAAATCCAGCTTTACCAAGTGCTCGATCAAAGTCATTGCAATTGTACACGCAGAAAGAAGGGGAAATTCCGTTACTTATTGTGACCACCAAGAAGCAAAACCATCTCTGTCATTTTGCAACAAATTCACTCTAAATGGACCTTGATCAATTATCCACAAAAGCTTTACATTTTAATTTAAACAAATGTATGCCGAGTATCAAGCATAAACTCAGCACATATGTTCCTTGTTTGATAAATCCTCTTCATTGCTAATAAGTCTCATTTAGATCCCAACCCTAGTCTATCTAATATTGTTGCTAATTAACTGCATAGGAAGAATGAACTGCTCTTAAATCAAACTGCAAATAATCTCATTTATTTTTCATTGTTTACAATTTGCAATTGTGTTTTGCAGTTGTGTTCTGTATTCTGCTCATAGCATGTATTTGCAAGGAGCCTTCCTGTCAAGCTGGCTGCAGCACTATACATTATACACCTGAGCATATTATGAAAATTCAAATGAATGCTGATCTTCTCCTTGAAATCATCATTTTGTTCTCCTCTACCTTGAAACCCCATGAAATGTGCTCTGCTTTCCTGCTTCTAGTCTTTATTCAAACTATTTCTTCCATACTAATTTGGCTTTGTCTAACAGAATATAATGCATTCTGTTTATGATACTGTTACTGTTATTGTAGCAGTAGATCTGGTTTCAGGTGGTGTGTATTTTTTTTCTTTGTTAGCCCCCTTTCCTAACCCTTGAAAAAATGTCAGCAGAAACCTGTTCGAACCTTGAAAATCATTAGAGAAAGAACACATTCACATTTTGATATCATGAGGAAATAAACATTATGGAATCCGCACATTTTGTTGTTGACAACATTTTTCTTCTTGCTGTTTTGCATCTTGTTATGTTCAGTTGTGGTGACATCCATTGAAACTGAACTGCAAGCAAATAAAAAAATACCATTATACAGTTATTAAAAAAAAACATTAAATGTATTTTAAATGCCATAGTGTAAACACCTAAACTTGCCTTGATATGAGCCTTCTTTAATTCTTAGTACAGCAGCAATCATATTGGGTGTGGGAGGCCAGCACTAAGAGCTGCATGCATATGTGCTGGTTGTCACTGAAGGATAGAATCAGAAATAATGCCATTAGTGTGCTGTGGCTCTTTCATTGTGTAATGACCAAAGTAGGGATGTTCTTTGATCCAGACTGAATTAGACTTTGTTTACTAGCTGCCTTACAGATGTTAATTGAAAAATTAAAGGGGATACCTCCCTTTATCATTGGTTTTATTAAGACCTTGAGCTGTGATAATGTATGAAAAACCACCTTTTATATAGTGCCATTCACCTTCATTGGTGTTACAGTATATGAGCACCATTATATCTGGTTGGATATAAATATATATGGTGCCATACACATTCATTGGTGCTACAGTATATGAGCACCATTATATCTGGTTGGACATAAATATAGCAAGCAATGTAAAGAACAGTTGGATAATGAGGGGCTATTTGGTGGGGCCCTCATCTGTATCAAGATTCAAACAAGGGGCTTCATTTTTCAAATAAATTTAAACTGGGTGCCAAATAGTATATAGAGCAATGGTTGATAGCCTTCT